TACGACCGCCTTACAACGGCCGACGGAATTTCAAACATGTTTGGGTTTCTCCCGACTTTACGATTCCTTATTCGGGAGGTGGTCGTGAGAGGCTGATCGCCCCTCGTTACCCCCTTTATTTTCACGACGCACGATCAGGCTGAAAGTCAGCCCGATCGAAAAATTCTTGCACAACTGCAGAACTGCCCGAAAAGGGCTGAAAAATTGCACAGCTAGGATATTTGGCCAACATAATCTAACCTAATCTAATCTAATCATTCTGATTTGGTTCTCATTAAATGATCCTTAGAGTCATCCTGATAATCAGCGCTTCTCAAAAGCAGAAGCTGTGGGGGGAACATTAACAGGATTAATGAGAAAGGTATCGGCTGATCACCCAAAATCAAGAAAAATTGGGTCAACTGATCGACCATCAATCAGTGCACGCCTGAGGTAAAATGACAGAGCGGTCTGCAGACGTACCTGGGGACATGAGCTGTGATTGACCCCTGGGTAGCTTTTAAAGGTGACCATCTGAGGGTCAACTATGTATTTGAGTTTCTCTGCCGTCATGGCACCGAACTGCACCGGAATCATCATGTCCATTTCTCCGTGGCACTGCAAGATGGGGAGGTTCTTGTGACCGCTCGACGCCTGCAGGAACAAACGAAAAACACACAAGGAACACATGCATGATACAGCAGAGGAAACTGCGAGGAGAGGAACTGGTTCCTGGGTTCTCCCCAGTCAGAAGCCGGCAGTACCGAAGGGAAACTCCTGTGAAGAGGAAGCCAGCAGCTGAGGGCCAGCACGCCGGCCAGCTGATAGTGGGAGGTCAGGGCGGTGTACAAGGACAAAGCTCCACCCTGAGAATGACAGGTAGAAAATGGTTTCTATACAATCGGTTCTGGTTTAAAAAACAAACAGCGGAACTGTAAATGGTGACCTCACCTGAGAAAAACCACCAATGATTATACGGTGAGGAGGGATCCCGTTTCTGGCCTCGTGATCGATTATGGCCCGGACTGCACACAGAAACAAAACAAAGAAAAGCTTCACTCAAGAGATGGAGATGACTGACGTCGTTACAGGGATTTATAGTTACAAAAACCCAGATAAAAGAATCTGATGGCTGTAAATTATGTTTTCTAACGCTATTATATTCCAACTTAAATATATTATTTAATATTAATACACTCCAACCTAAACCAACTTTTCAACAAACTGTCATAACAGAACAATGTTTGTGTAGTGGGTAGGGGTGTAAATAATAATCGTTTTGTATCGATGCATCGATCCAAAAGCCAACGATCCGATGCATCGATACGTCCGCAAGATAATCGATTCATTTTTTTTTTTTCCTCCGGTCTATTTTTATCCATTTGCTCCTGGGCGTAATTCTCCTCCTGTGCTGCGGTGGCGCTAAACCTATTTTGCCCTCCTACCTCGCTTCCTGGTTATACTCTTACATCAGTGTGTTGCAGTGAGCTTGATGCAGCCATTTTT